ACCAAAAGCACACCTCGGAGCCTTGGAATGTCTCAAGGTGCCCACTTTCTGAGGTGGCCCTTCAGCCCTGGAGTCCCAGAGCAAGGGTCCAGCTTTAGCATTTGGATGAGTGGTTTGATCTCACTGGGGTTTCAAGAAAATGTTAATCCCACTAGGTGACAATAAAACCACTACCATAATTTTTAAGCCAAATTTGAAGCAAGTTTTATTAAATATTGGCCAGGTCCATACTCAGGATTCCTAGAATGTGGCCCCAAATTACATTAGTCAGGGACTTAAAACGCAAAACCCACAAGGCTACATACTTCCTACTCTCATCCAATCAAGGGCAAGCATACATCCTGACTACTTCCTGCCTATGTACCGCCTGCCTACGTGTCATCAAGTACATCTTGTACAGTTGGGCAACCATGCTTGTTTACAGAAGCAAAAACACAGGACTTGTTATCTTACATGAACAACATCCCCCAGCATTCCAGGAAGTTATCTGTCCTAGGGCAAGTGGGACTTACAGGTTGGACAAATTTTTGTTTTATAGATCTCTTAAGCACAGTAACTTAAACTTACAACATAATGTTAGCCCTTACATGACTCCCACATGTGTACCATGAAGTTCATTCATACACATGCACACACACACACACACACACACACACACACACACACACACACACACACAATTTCTTAAAATGGAAAGAAAATAAAAGGAGTGGACCTGGAGAGACAGCTTAGTAGTAAAGAGTACTTGCTGCTCTATCAGGGTATCTGAAGCCTATCCCAGCATCCTGTGAAGTCTCTCGCAACCACCTGAAACTTGCTCCAAAGGATCTGAAACCCCCTTCTGCCTCCTTGGGCACCTACACACATGCAGCATACACACCCGCTTCTGGGGCCCTGCACAAACTGTTCACACTGTTGGGTTGACTGCCCTACTCTGCCTAAGTCAAGGTAGGCCAATTTTTCCAAGTTCCCCATTCACAGGAAAATCTCTCAGACCTCTTTTAAAATGAAAATAAAAAATAAAAATAAAAGAGAAATCACTTATCCTGATCCAAATATGAGTGCCTCACCTGCAAACCCTGATCCAAGTTGCCCTGCACGTCATGTTCCACTCTGGAAACTGTGTGTGGGTGGGTATGTGCATTCATGGCATGAAGGCCGGAGCAGGACATCAAGTGTCTTCCTCTCTCACCCACCACCTAACTGCCTTCAGAGAGGCTGGCCAGACAGCTCTTGGGGTCCACCTGTCTCTGTCATAGCCATGCTCAGCTTTTCAAACTGATGCTAGGGATTTGAACTCAGGTTCTCAGGCTTGCAGAGCACACCATCTCCCCAACCCCTGGTAGTTGTTATTATTCCTTTGTAGTCACAAAACAAAAGAGTCATAAATGAATGCATTTACCAAATGCATTGGTGGGATCAGCAGGTAAGCAAGCTACAACAAAGGAATTTCTAGAATTCTGACCCAATCTGATGACATTCTTAGCTTTGGGGTTGGAGGAAGCTACTGGGCTATTGATAACCGTGATGCTAGTTCTGCAACATTCCAACTCTCCACAGTCACAGAGCACTAATCAGTCTGCCCAGTCTTCACCACAGATATGCCTTCTTCAGGGTATGCCTCTTCACAAGGATATCAGGCTGTAGATTAAGTGGGATTCAGGAGACAGGAAGAACGCACCTGACCTTACAGGGGACCAGAGAATTACAGTAGGTGCAATGTGTAGGTGGGACACAGTGGAAAGGAGGAATGTGGACTAAAGGAAAGACAAGAAGAGGGTGAGTAACAAGAATTGAATTTGCCCTCCTGTTTGGGACATACACACACACACACACACACACACACACACACACACACACACACACACACACAGATTAAAACTATAACGTGTAAGAAGTTGGGCAGTAGGCAATAATAGACAGTGTCCCTGAGATAGGAAACAAAGTGAACCCTGAGAAAGAGCTTCCCTGCTGTGGCACAGGGAGAGAGAACAAAGGCCAGAGTCCAGAGACCTCTGTGAAGGAAGTGGACAGAGACAGAAGGCAAGGCTTGTCGTGTTTTAGGAGAGCATAGGCGTCCAAAGACCTGAAGAGGAGCCCCCCCCCCACGCCATCTTTAGTTGAAGACTGAGCACCAGACACAGAGCACAGAGGAGTTACTTGGAAGGATCTGGTGGAAGGTTTGTGGCCACCAGGGCTGGAAATAGTTGCTACAACTTCACACGACAAGGCCCTGGGAAGAGCTGGAGGCTACATGGCAGAAGAGGCCAGCACTAACTCAGAAGCCTCTCTGGTGCCTAAGGCACCAATCCCATTTGGGAGGGCTCTGTCATCAACACCTAAGGCTCTTACAAAGGCTTCACCTGCTAATGCCATCGTCTGAACTGGGGGACAACCAAAGATGAAATGAGGCTGTGTGCAAGCAGTACGTTCTAGTAATCTCCATATTCAGGAGGGAGAGGCAGGAGGATTGCTGTAAGTTTAAGGCCAGCTTAGACCATGGGCAAGTTTCAAACCAGCCACAGAAAGAGAACTTGTCTCAAACAAATAAATAAACAAATAATGGGAGGGGCACAGATATGCAAGTCCATAACAGTATGACAACTTCGAGGTCAATAAATTTCACAGCCTAGATTAAACTGATACATTCCTTGAATAATATAATATAATGAAAAGAATATTTCAGGGCTTCTTGCATTTTTTTCTGCTTAAGGCCAATTTTTGCTTAAGAATTTTTTTTTTTTTTTGGTTTTTCCGAGACAGGGTCTCTCTGTGTAGCTTTGAGCCTTTGCTGGATCTCGCTCTGTAGACCAGACTGGCTTCGAACTCACAAAGATCCACCTGCCTCTGCCTCCTGAGTGCTGGGATTAAAGGCGTGCGCCACTACCACCACCTGGCTACTTAAGAATTTTTTACATGACTCTGCTAAATAGATATATAAAATAGGAGTACAAATCGAATATTTACCAACAATAAATCATGAGCGTTTTTATTTTAAAACAAGTTTTGGGAGCCAACTGGATGACTCAGCTTGTAAAATAGTGTACTACCGAGTCTGAAGATAGATTCTCCCAGAGCCCACATGATGGAAGGGAAGAACCAACTCCTGAAAGTTGTCCTCTGACCTCTACATGTGCACATGGCATGTGCAATTATTTTTTTAATTACAAAAATTAAAACAATTCTTTGGTCTGTGTGTCTGTGTGTGTGTGTTTACCATTTATTGAGGTGAAAGATGGGGGTCTGGAGAGATGAGTCAGTGATTAAGAACACTTATTGCTTTTATAGAGAAACTGAGTTTGGCTCCCAGCACCCTCTTCAAGCAACCCATTAACTCCAGTCTGGGAGATCAAACACCCTCTTCTGACCCCTGATGGTACTGCATTCATGTACACAAACCCCACACACACACTTAATTAAAAATAAAGATGTCTTTATCTTAAGATGAAAGATGAATATGCTTGTTTATTTCTGAATAAAGAACTAAATCTTGGTTGAATTTTTTGTTTGAGACAGGGTTTCTCTGTGTAGCTTTGGAGCCTTTCCTGGAACTCACTCTATAGCCCAGGCTGGACTCGAACTCACAGAGATCCGCCTGGCTCTGCCTCCCGGGTGCTGGGATTAAAGGCGAGCACCACCACCGCCCAGCTTTGGCTGAATATTTTATATCAAAGGACATAGAGTATTGTCAGTGTGTTTTAGAGTTGATCAGTATTTTTATTTTTCAGGGCTGGGCGTGTAGCTCAATTGGTAGAGTGCTTGACTAGCATGCATGAGGTCCTGTGTTTGATCCACACCATCGCAAAAACCAGATGTGGTGGTGTGTGCCTATGACCCCAACGCTTGAGAAGAGAAAGCTGCAGGTCACTCTTAGCTACATCATAGGTTTGAGACTACCCTGGGCTACATGAAACTCAATCTCCAATTTTTAAAAATGTTATTATTGTCAATGCTGAGAACACCACTTTACATACATATGTACTATAAACTAGCAAAATATGCTTAGGGTCATTCCAAAATGTGTTGGAAATTCTGTCCTGCTCTCAAGCCAAAATTCATTTACCTTGTCTTTTTGAAACTCAACCAGCAGCTCAAACAACTTGGAAATTAAGCATTCTAACACAGTGCTGATATGTGCTCATTTGATAGTTACATGCTGAGGGATGACAGTGGGAAAATATTAGAAGTGTTTGTTTCCATATGAGACCACTGTGTTTCTACAATGGCAGGAAACTGTATGCACAATAAGTACAGTGCATTCATAACATACAAGAGTCTCCCACTTGAGCCAAGGAGTTTCAGGAAATGTTTGTTGGTGCTGAGTAGTCTGACAGTGGACCAATGCCTAGTGCAAACGTTGTGTGTTCAGGACCAGAGCTGAATGAATTTGCACAGCGCAAGACAGACAAACACTGCCAGAAATAACCTGGATGCATTATGTTCTTTATTTTGAATTAATTTGGGTTTGCAGGTCTGGTAAGATAGCTCAGCAGTTAAAGGTGCTTGCCTGATAACGCTCTCTCGCTCGCTCTCCACCCCCCCTTGCTCACTCGCATGCACACACACTCACACACACACACACACACCCTCTGAGTCCCAGTACTCTTTGGTGTTCTGCCACCACCCCCACTCACGATGTCATGGAAACTTTTGTGGCTCAGCTTCTAAACACAGCAGCCTGCCCTCAGCTGTGGTAAGGCAGTAAAACCCCAAAGAGTTGTTATGACAGGGACTGGAACCAACATGCAGCTGAAGAAGAGTGGCTAGGCTGACCCTCCCCACAGGAAACTCTCAGGGTTAGAAACACCAGTGGGCCAGGATGGACCGGAAGCTGTCCATCGCACTGCCTGTGTGGGACTGAGGAAAGGAAACGCCAAAGGGAGACCACAGGTAGGCAAGATCCCAGCCAAGCGAGGACAACCGCCAACCCATGTCTTGTAAAACACAGGCAACTGCTGACTGAAAGAACACACCTTTATTGGTTGAGCACAGAGGGAAGGTACACTTGATAATAACACTCGGAGAAGCCCCAGTCTCGGGATCATTTGTTCCGGGGCCAGTTCCCTCCAAGACGACTGTACTGGGCATCATCACGATCTCGGAGAGGCTGGAATGAGAAGCATGACACCAAGTCAGCATCTGAGCCCTTCTCAGCACCCATGCCTGACTTCTCCAAACATCCAAGGATGAGCTACTGCCCTCCCCACCACCCAGGACTCTCCACACATCGCACACCCATCCTGTCAGGTCCCTTAGTTCTCACACCCTTCTCCCATTCTCGACTCCTCCCTCAGGGCTTACCTGATACAGCTGCTCGTTCTTCAACAGGGCTTGAATGTCAGAAACTAGAAGCAAGGAAAGAGGGTTACTGCAAGCTGGGGAAGATGAGACAATGAGACCTCAGCAGTCTGAGGAGTTCCTTTGAACACTGCGGGGGGACTCTGACCCAGTCACACCCTCCCTCAGTCTCAGAAGTCTGCATGAGTATCACAGGCAGATATGTTCTTTCAGCACCCTGTGGTACCCCTAGGGACTAGATGAAGCCAACCCTACCACCATCACCATCTTTCAGCCAGTTCATGAACTCATAGAGAGAGAGAGAGAGAGAGAGAGAGAGAGAGAGAGAGAGAGAGAGAGAGAGAGCCCTTCCACTAACCCCCAGAGAGCCTTCCAGTCTCATGTCCTGCAAAGCAGTAGACTCCCAAAGCCAGGAGCAGAGTGGCAATGAGGTCAGTGATGATGATGCCAGCCACGGTGGCTGAGTCCAGCTCCACACAGTTCTGGCACACTGTGGGGGAGAAGAGAAAGAAAAATTTCAAGGTCAGGGAACCATCGCCGATCCTAGAAAGACTCTAGGTTTCCCATTCCAAGACTCACACTTCAGTGAGATGGTGATGACCTTGCTACTTCCATCCCCACCCTCATCCCAAGGAACTGCTGAAGAGAAACATGACATAACTTCAACTTGATGGGGCCTTACCTGAGGAAAGGACTAAGCCCCTCTCCAAGCCAGCCCCTGCCTCCTGTCTGTCTTAGTCAAACCCTCTCCCATTCTAAAACACTCCCTGACAAATCTGGTCCATACCACCATGAGTGCCCTTGGTTTGTTTAGAGAATAAATCAGTTCACCACAGTCTGCTTTTAGACAGAATGTTCTCACATCCAGAGGGCCCATGATCTCATCCCAGTGGGTCCAGGAGGCACATACTTCGGTAATATACTTGTAAGGTAGACAGCTTCCCTGTCCCATTACACTTATAGATCCCTCGTGGGTCCAGGATGCCTTTTCCCAAGTTCAGTGTTGTATTTTTTGCAAGCCACACTTCTGCCGATCCCTCTAGATGCATGATGCTGGTATTGCAACTCACAAATACTTGATCCTCATATTCGGTCACTGAAACATTGAAGGAGCTCCCTAAGAGGGAAAACACCATAATCAGAGGCAGCTCTCTGCTGTGTGGCCGACCCGTCATTCAACTGAAGTGAATACTTATGGACCGACCACGTGTGTAGTAAGGGATACGATTCCTAGTGAAAGGAAGGGGCAGAATAGACTAGAGGAAGACTTCAGGAAGTTATCCAGAAACTGCAGAGCCATGAAGGACATGAGGCTGTAGTCCAAGCAGAAGACAGATTGTCCAAATTGACTTTAACTGCCAGCTTAACTCAGCCTAGAGTCACCGGAAAAGAGAGTCTCTAATTGATGGATCACCTACATCAAATTGGCCCTGTGCACATGTCTAGTATAAGGGATTGTCTCGATTGCCTTACTGATGCAGGAGAGTCCAGACCAGTGTGGGTGGCACCATTCCCTGGGCAGGTGGGTCTGGGCTGTATAAGAAAGCTAGCTGTACAAGCAAAGGAGCCAGAAAGAGCAATCTTCCATGGTTTCTACTTTGAGCTCCTGCTTGAGTTTCTGCCCTGACTTCCCTTAAAGATAGACTGACCTGGACTTGTAAGCCAAGTAAATCCTTCCCTCCCTTAAGTTGCTTTTGGTCAAAGAATTTTATTACATTAGAATTCAAACTAGGACACGGGTCCTGAGTGACTTGGGGCAAAAGAGAAAACCATGAAGCTGGGTTGATCCAAGAACCTTCCCGAAAATTAAGTTCAGACCACCGTTTAGACCGCTGGGGTTCCCCAAGAGACCTGGGAAGCAGAAGGATGTTCTTAGCCTGGAGACTGTTCCTTTTATACTAAAGACTTCTAATTCCTCTTCCTAGCCAATAATCTTCTCTCTTCAACTTCTCATCCTTTCCCTTCTCTGCTATCTCCACTCCAGTATCTGCCAGAGTACTGAGAGGCTCAGTGTGAAAGCCTTTTCCAAGGCCATTGACCTCTGGGACAGAGAGGAGCTGTGAACTACCAGCCCAGTGATCCAGATTTCCCAGGGCAAAGCCCATGTAAGAACATTCCCTGGGAACATAGCTCAATGGCAGAGGCATGTGCAATGCCCTAGATTCGATCTCCAGTACTGCCAATATACACTCTGGCACAGTGACTTGAATCTGTAATCTCAACACTCGGAAAGCTGAGAAAGGAGAAAGCCTGAGACAGCAAGGCCAGCCTGGGCTACAGAGTAAGTGAGATCCCATTAAAAAAAAAAAAGTAGTTCTATTAGTGTGTTAGTGGCAGCTGGGACCGAGACATAGGCACTGTCATCTGCAGCAGCCTGAGGAGTTCCTTTAATCTTGGAGGAAATTTAACTCAAGTAAAACCCAAATCTTCTCCTCCTTCAACAGAAAATTTTTAGGATGAACCAGTAATGAAGCAATTTTGGGTTTATCTTAATATAATTTCCTTATATTAATATAAGGACATTTTAATATAGATCTTAAACATGCATGTTAAGAGAAAGAGAGGCACACTCCTGAAGGTTTCCCAGAGAGAGATGTGCCGTGTCTTTGCAACAGCTGTGTACACCGTTCGGGTGGGTTTTGAAGTTCTTATCCACAGAGTTGCTAAGAAACCTAAATGAGTTCACAGAGTGGTTGGTACGGGCATCTGACAGGATTACAATTGCTTAAATAAAAGTCTAGATTTGGGGATGCCAGAAGGCACCTCACTATAAACAAAGTAAGCAGTCTTATTTGTGAGGGTCCTAGAAAATATTCTAGAGAGAAATGAGGCCCTACTCCCAAAGCCATATACACGCAGGCATTAAGCCTGTCTTGTTGCTATTTTAACACAAAACGCCTGTATAGGAAAAGACTAGCACACGGGCAACTTTCACAGCAAGTGTTAACGGTGCTGAAATTCTCAAGTCTCAGCTTAAGAGGCTTCAACTAGCTTCTGGGGTGAGAGGGTCCTTTCCCTTCTGTGTCTCTGTAATTTTTCCTGTCTTTCTAGCCTACCTCAGGGCCACACTTGCTTAAGGAGAAATGGCCACAAATAATAATAATAATATCAAATCAGTTTCTGAGGCTCCGTGTAGGGGGTGTAGGAGCCAGAGATGCGCACAGCGGGCCTTCCCAGACAGCCGGAGAACATCTCTCAGCCCACAGGGTACTGCAATGTCCACTGCCAGCAGCAGCAAAGATGGAGTCTGTGTGTCTCCAATGTGAACACAGGAGCGTCCTCCAGAAAGCTCCAAAATGGCTGCCCCTCCTGCCTCTGAAGCAGGAGTGTATGTGAGCATGCTAGAGAAGACATGGATGTGTACAGTTCTTCTCCTCTTGTAGACCTATCTTCTTTGGAGTTATTTGCAGCAGAAACCTCTGGTGGCCAGGACAGCTTTTAGAGTGGCCATTTGGCGGAGTTTTCCGGAGACTGCTGAGTTCCTGAGATGTGAGCTCTCCAGGGTTGTTTGGGGGTTAGTTTGGTTTGTACTCTTGTACTCTTAGAGATCTACCCCTGAGCTATATCCCCAGCCCAATTTTCTGTTTTAAAAGTGAACAAACTGAGAAGAGCTGCTACCTACTAACTTTAATAGAATATATCCCCATCTGTCCTTCCCACCCAGCTAAAGCTAACTTTTCCCAAGATGACTCCTGAATTCTGAACGGTGGCTCTGGGTGGTTACGTAACAATGGCCGATGCCCAAGAATCCTACTCCAGGAGGCCGTTTGCCTTAGAAGATGCAATGGGTGTAACTTCTTCCATTGCCAGCCTTAGGCCCAGGCACATGCAGTGTGAAACCGCTTCCTACAGACGTCTGGTCCAAGGCCGTGGATACCATTAAGACCAATGTGAGCCTTGACTGGAGGAGGTCAAAGCCAAAGGCTTGTTCCTATACCCCAACCCCGCCCTTCTGACCTGCCTGATGATAAACTGGAGCCAGCACTGAGATGCACTTCCCAGTAAATTTCTTCCAGTGATGATGTCCCTCTCAGGTCCCTTCCTCCACACAGCTGAAGAGGCCTCACTTACCTTGAGGGAAAAAAGCGGCCAGTATCAGACCAGCCAGAATCCCGCTATGTTCCATCTTCCGGAGGAATTCATCCAACAGACAGAGGCAAGCCACAGAACGATCGGCCAGGGTGGCACTCCCCTCCGCCAACGGACTCATGGGTATTCAGAAAAAGGAAGAGTGGGGGAGGAGCCAGAAGAAATCTGCCTCTCTGCCTTTGGTGATGGGGGGCTGTCAAGGCAAGAGTAGGTTAGGGATGGGGTAAGAAGGAACAGGTGCAAACCGCTCTTTCTGGGGCAGAGCTTGGGAGTAAAGGCAGAAGGCAGAGGAGAGACTATGAGGGAGGTTCATTCTGGCTTCTACGAGGTGAGAGGAGATTGAGAATAGCTTTTCCTGGGTCACTGGTAACAAATGAAGAAAACTTCGGGCGTCCTATTGACAACACGACTACATTTACTTACAAACAAGAGTCAACTCTTCAAATCCATTGAGAGAAGCTATGAGCCCCATTAGACAGGCCACATTAACAGTTCCTCCCATTTGTTTCTGGTCAGTTTCAGGACCCTTCCCAGGGCAGTCTGGGCACTACATCAAGCTGCTTCTAGCCAGATGGACTTCAGAAACACCCCAAGTCAGACATCTGAATCCTAGATCCAGTGTGTAGTACCCATGGCACCAAGCATGGAGTGTTTCAGAGCTTGTCTCCCTTGGTATCACCATAAGGATTTGGAGAGGGGTGTTTACATGGTGCCGCCACATCAAGTCTTCTCAGTATGAGATTCTACTTAACCATATAACCCACTCACTGTATAATCGAGCCTCCCCAGCAGACAATAGACTTTCTCTACCACAGGCTGTGGGGATCTGAAACTTTCCACACTGCCACAGTTAGAAGGTCATCTGCCTGGGGCCGAACTATAGGCTTGTGCCTGGTGTCACGTAGGAGGTCTGTGAATTTCTGTTACCCATTGACTGACTGAATGAGACAATGGCCTGAGACCCTGGAAGTAGCCCGGGGGTTGTGTGCCGAGAAATATGCTAGCTGTCCTGTTGGGATGGGCCTACCTATTTTCAGGTAGGTACCACTTTGATGTTCTCAAAAGAACAGGGACAAAATCGCTCAATGAAGGTCTACACTAAGATGCTTTTCCATTCTGAACTCCAGCCCTAGCCACCTAAAAGTCCTACCTAAATCCTTGCATTCTGGGGTCCAGTGAGAAACAAGTCTAGTCCTAGCAACAACTACAGACAGTCCTCGACCCATTATGCAAAGAGGTTCTAAGGATAAGGGGGTTTCCAAATGGGAGTCTAGACCCCTCACTCTCACTCCCCGCTACCTGACAAATGCAAGCCTCAGCAACAACAACAGGAGATATGCCTGCACAGAAGCATCCCTGCTGGGGCCCCTGCTGCCCACACTTTAAGGAGAGGGTGGGGACACTGGGTTTTGCCTCTGCTCAGAGCCCCAGCTCAAAGGATGCTGGGCGGAGCCAGGCTAGCTGTTGCACAGGCTGGCTGGCTGGCTGGCTGGCTGGCTGGCTGGCTGCTAGGGGACCTCCACAGCTCTGCGAGAGAAGGAAAGAGACTGACATGGAACAGGAGAAGGGTCTGACTGGCCTCGTCCTGGTGATCTTGCTTCTTCAAGGTAAGAGTTTACTTGAGGGTCTGACAGCCAGGGGAAGGCTCATGAGAAGAGGCCATGACCAGGAAGGCAGGGTTACTGGAATCCTAATTAACCTTGAGCCAACTTCATCTGTCATCTCAGAATTCAAAGAAGGAGAGGCAAAAATGAGGGCCCCAGCCGTCCTCTGCTGGAAAGAAGCACAGGGACCAGAGGGCTAAACTGGCTAGAGAGAGGACGGCACTACCGCCATCTTAGGCGTGAATGCAGTTCAGAAGGACCGTGCAGCCGGGTAATGACTCAGTCAGTAAGGTGCTTACCATGCAAGCATGGGAATCTGAATTCAACCCCCAGAACTCACTAAAAATGAGGGTGTGGTAGCACATTCTGGTCATCACAGTGCTGGGAAGGCAGAGACTGATGGATCCCTGGGGCTTTCTAGGAGGCCAGCCAGCCTTGACAAATCACCACCTTCAGGTCAGTTAGACAGACAGACAGACACACACACACACACACACACACACACACACACACACACACACACACACACATACACAGCTCAGATAAGGAAACTGAGAGAAAAGGGTATATTCAGTGGACCTATGGAACATTTGTCTACAAAGCTGTTTAACTAGTCAACAAGCATGGCAAGGTCCAGACATGTGAGACTCCAGAGAATAAAAAGATGAATAAAAACCTTCTGTTCTCAAGAGTTTAGAGCGTCATTAGAGAGATTGGTTTCACCAGACACACTGAGTACAAGGTGCAGCATGGGGACGCCTGTGTGAAATATCCAATAGGAAGTAGGTGAATTAGGCTGACACCTGGGTACCCCGGGGGGAAGCTAAAGTCATGAAAATTATCTTTTTATTTGTTTGTGTGATTGTCTGTTTTGTGTTTGAGTGTGAGGGTGTCTGCATGCCGTCATACATATATGGCAGTCAGAGGAGAACCCGAAGGAGCTGGTTCTCTCTCTACTGTGTGGGGCCTAGAATCACACTCAGGCCACCAGGCTGGACTTCGAGTCCTTTTACTTGCTGATCCATCACAGAGTCCCTCCCTCCTTTCCTTTTTAAGAGGGTTCTACTATGTAGCCCAGGTTGGCCTCCAACTCATAGACATTCCTCTTGCCTCAGCCTCCTGAGTGCTGGTGTTATAGGCATAAGCCACCACACCCAGCTAAAGGCCTGAAAATTCTTGAAACTACAAAACCTTCTTGTGATGTGTCAAAAACAAAGAACTGAAGATGGAGCTCTAAGGAAGCAAGAGGGTATGAAATATTTGCTGGATGTAGTGGCATCTAAACTCAGTACTCTGGAGGCAGAGGCAGGAAAACCAGGAGTTCCAGGGCAACCTGGGCTATACAGCAAACTCTAGGTCAGCCTAGACTGTGCAAAACCCTGTCTCAAAACAGCAACAACAGACAGGGTATAAAAGGTTGAACATAATCCACTACTGTAAGAATATATTTAAATTTTTAGTTTGTGGGATTTGATGAAATGAAGATCATGGCTGATTGGAACAGTTTCAGTAGGGTTGGTTTGAGTGGCTGCCAGACCGGTTTAAAAAAAAAAAAAGGTGGAGGGGGTGATAAAGAGTAACAAAGGTGGAGCTGTGCCGGGGCGGGATTTGAGTGAGAGGCAGAAGAGATGGCGCACGCCTTTAATCCCAGCACTCGGGAGGCAGAGGCTGGCGGATCTCTGTGAGCTGGAGGCCAGCCTGGTCTACAGAGTGACTTCTAGGACAGCCAGGACTGTTACACAGAGAAACCCCCGTCTTGAGAGAGGAAAAAAAAAAGAATTAAAAGATGGGCGAACACGTGGTTTAGCTAAAGGAGAAGGCGATGCGCGTAATGAAGGTCTAGAGTAGATATCGGAAAGACAGAGCTGAGGGCAGAGTCCAGGGCACGCGGGAAGGCAGCAGTACAGGTAAGAGGAGCAGGAAGCAGGTGCGGGGCTCTCAAGAGGCGGGCTCAGACAGGAAGCAGGACCCAGCAGCACCGCTGCTCTCCACACGGGGAGGGAGGGAGTCACTGTGGTGACACTATGTAGACCACAGCCGAGTGGGAGCCGTGGAGAAGCTGGCGAGAGTGGAGAAGCCTCCCTGAGAGAAAATGGAGGAAGCCACAGACAACACGGGCTAAAAGACAATACTGAGAGCCCGAGGGAGGCTTCTGGAAGGAATACCAGGTTAAGCAACAGAAAAGCTAAGCCCTGAGTCCAGCTCAGTCACCAGGAAGTTGTGGACACTTGAACACCACTGCCCTCTGAACTCGGTTCTCACACCGGTCAGTTGGATATTTGGCTACCGGGGTTCTTGAGTCTCAGGAGACCACACTTAGATATGCAAATGTCAACAATGTCAGCAGTCACTGCCATCTCCTTTCCTGTTGACTCTGAGTAGCATGGAGAGTCTCCTTGCTCTCCTATGATACAGCCAGGTGATTAGAGATCAGGGCCAGTAAAAATATTTTTAGGGGCCATAGAGATGGCTCAGCGTTTAAGAGCACGCTTACTGCTCTGGTAGAGGACCAGGGTTCGAGTCCCAGCACCCACAAGGTGGCTCACAACTGTCTGTAGCTCCAGTTCCGGGAGATTGGGACATTCTCTTCTGGCTTCCACCAGCACCAGGCATGCACCCAGTACACATGTACACACCAAGCAAAACACTCATACACATAAAGTAAATCTTTAGAATAATAATATATTCAACTGTTGTGTCCATTTACCCCATTCACTCCCATAACCACTCATCTGAAAAGTAGGCTCCTCCCATGTTCTAGGCACTGCGCTGGTGTCATTCATAAACAGCATCAGCCTGCAGAAGTTGTAAGGCAGTTGATGCTTCCAGCTGCTTCTGTTAAACTTGGACTAATGACTAGCTCCCCCATCACTAACTCTACATCTAGCCCCACCTCTTCCAAATCTGTATCTTTAATGAGCTATTTATTTTCCTATCCAAAATGCCTTTCCCTATTCAGTGAGCTTTTCCTTGTTCTTCAATATAGGCCAAATGTCATTTCCTTCACTAAGCTTTTTTCTTGAGCAGAATTAATTATTTCTCTTTTCCTCTCCTCTCCTCTTCTTTCCACCGCTCTGTTTTTCTCTCCTATCTCTCTCTCTCTTTCTCTCTCTCTCTCCCTCATTTTTTAAGACAGGGTATCACTATGAATCATTGCATCCTGGAACTCAATATGTAGACTTTCAGAAATCTGTGCACCTTGCCTCCCAAGTGTTAGGATTAAAGGTGTGCACCATCACACCCCTCTCTCTGTCATATTTTATGTTTTATTAATTTTTTTTTGGTTTTTCGAGACAGGATTTCTCTGCGTAGCCACTGCTGTTCTAGAACTCGCTCTGTAGACTAGGTTGGTCTCACAGAGATCCACCTGCCTCTGCCTCCCGAGTGCTGGGATTAAAGGTGTGGGCCACCACCGCCTGGCTGAGTTTTATTAAATCCTTAAGACAGCCATCCCAGGATATGCCCTGTTGACAGTCTACTCTC